GCATAAAGTTGTGTACAACTTTGAAAAATGACAATTCATCATCATGAAATTACATACCTGGGAGTTCTGGAGCTGGTTGTGGAATCGCTGGATCAAATCATTCAGTTCTTCATTGAGCTCAGATGTTAAGCTTAGTCCCGAGACACTACCAGTTGTCTCAGTTACAACTATTGGTAACAAAAAAAAAATCAGCATATTTTGCATCCAAAGTATATTTAAATGTTTTGTGTCAAAAGGGTTTTGTTTAACAACACAGTACAGAATGCTAACTACTGTACAGCATAAAATTGAGTCAATAATCTGCACTTGATTCAATTTTTTTGATCAAGATCTGTGAAAGGGGGCAATATACCACAAAAGTAGTGTTTTATTCCTCTGTTCAAGTGGAGCTACTACAGTCTACCTGGCCTAATAAGGAAAATCAAACTATTATAAGAAGTTATATCTTGATCTCATCTGAAGTTAATACAAGTTTCAAAATCTCAGGCTTTTGAACTGAATATTAGATTGACCAATATATTAGGAGTTACAGATGAAACAACTGGTTTTGAAAGGAATTGTTTGCAATTAGTTCTTTTTAAGTTATCCTTGGCGGAAAATTGTCAGAACATACATGATACAGTTTACTACAATCCTTTGGAAGTCACCTTGGCAAGTTTCTGGATGACAGGGCAAGCTACTATAATTATCAGCAGTTTTAGAGCTCTTGGGTGGTCCTCAAGTTTCACCGAAGCACAACATAAATGTCAAGAAGACTACCCTTCTCTTATTTTGGTCTAACTTGCAAGCTGGCTTTCTAATCAATTGCCAAACTCCTTTTCATCAGTATTCCACGTATTACATTCTACGTATGTACATAGGATGACAAGTGGGTGGGTTGGGGGGTAAGCTGCCAGGTTGCAAGGTGGCAATTGGGCCAGGTAAGTGATGCAGTAATTAGGGTAGGTCAGAGTGGTGCTTGTGGAATACCACATCTGGCGAGGGGGCTGGGAAGTGTGAATGATCATTCTGGTGGCAGGTCGGGCAAGGGAGATTAGGCTCTGAGCAAGGGGTCCCAAGGAGGCAGTTTGGGTTCAGAGCAGAAGAGGGAAGGACAGGTCCATTGGAGGGTGCAGTAAGAGGGAGACCAAGGATTTCAAGAGTATTGGGTCTAGAATAGGAAAATAGCATCCCAGGCGAAACGGGGCGTCAGGTCATGGTCTGGGAGTTGTAAGTGGTGTAGTTTAGGGATGTCAGAGTGAAGTTTGAAGTCAGTTGTTTAGTTACTCAGGAATTAGACAATGTAATTTTCTATGTACTTAATAGTTTAACCTTTCTTGAATGACTGTTGATTTAATTTCATTGGAACCCTCAGAAATCTTGAACTTAAATGGATACTTTCGGAGGGTTCCTATGGTAGAGAAAATGCCCAGTGGCATCTTCAATTTTCTGGGCAATTCCTTCGAAGTCTGCTGCAGTGGGGTTTCAGCAGGGTCTCCATGTGCAATTCCCACCTACACTGGATTAACAGCATCCAAACATCCAAGCTGTTATATTTCCATAAGATCACATATTCTTTGAAATTAGGCCTAGCTATCTCAACACCCCATCCCAATCTTCTTTGGTCAGTGAACCTCATTTGCACTCCCATTCCATGAATTTCCAGTTGCCTGGATACAACCAATTCTTTGCACTGAGATAGAACACTATGGGGTAGATGTGGCTTTTCAGTGAAAAGATTAGAGTATCAGTTAAACAATAAAGTTTGACTAATGCAGTTAGCATAATCAATTAACTTAGTTCTAAGCAACAGAACCACAAAATCTGATGAATTAACAGCAGCCAAATATCCCAACATCCTACGTAAAGAGATTCTGCATTCTACTTGCTCCATCAATTGAATATAAAACTGGCACCACAAAAGAGCAAAATGCTATGAAGTATATAATAGCCTGAGCTGAAGCAACTACGAAATTAAACCAAAAAGTCCTCTTTCCCTTCTCAAAATCAGTTCCAAATCTGCCATCTTTGAAGAAAAGCTTCTTTCCAATTTCTTTCTTTATATCCCAGAAAGGCATCTGAACAGGATGCTTCCTTTACTAAGTCCATATCATCGTGCATAATTGAATACATCAGGCCGATTGGGAACAATCTCAAATCAGGAAAGGACAATGACTTGAAATCAGTGATACACATTCTTCCCTTCTCAAAAAATACTGTTCACATTTACTGCAATGACATGTTTGTGATGATGCTAAATATGCCACGACAGATCGAATATGCATGCTATTGTAAATAAATGTTTGGTATACCAGATTCATCCATTCCAACTATAGTCTGTTCTGCTTTATGCTGTAGTGCCAAAAGTGCTGCCTGTCTTCCTTGAAGTGTCTTTAACTGTTCTTGTTGCTCTAACATTCTTTTCAAAAGTTCATGTTGCTTTTTCAAATTTTCCAATTCTTCTTTTGCGTTCCGATGCTGATCATCTTCCTGAAGATGACATGAAAATCTGCAATTACTTTAAAAGGTAAGTTAAGCTACAAGACAATGTGAAACATTCATGAGCCCCTAACTACTTTTACCTGTCAACACACGACTCACTGTTTTCTATTCATACGTAAAATGTGGACATCACTCGGTAGGCTCATATTTAGGCTCATCCTTAATTGTCCTCAAGGTAGTGTGAGATGCATTCTTGAACTGCTGCAGTCCATATAGTATAGGTACACCCAAAGTGCTGTTAGGAAGGGCCTACCATGATTTTGATCTCAGAGAGTTATTTGTTGGTGACATAATTACAGGTGGTGGTATTCTCATGTTCTTCTGCCCTTGTCCTTCCAGCTGCAGAGGTTGAGAGTTTGAAAGGTGCTGTCAAAAAAGCCTTTAATAGTTGTTGCAATGCATCATGTGTATCTCATACATTGCTGCCACTATGTCTTGGTGGCAGAGAGAATGAATGCTAAAGATGGTGTCAAAAGCAAGTTTTGAAAGGTGACTGGCTTGACAAGGTTCTCGTTTCATCTGATTCAAATGAAGGAAAGCCTGCAAAGAACAAGCTGAGATGGAGGACATCTAGCTACGACCAAGCTGAGTTGAAGGAAATTTGCTATCAGCAAGTCATCCAGCTGATCCCTCCCATTTTTGAGATGAAAACTCTCTACATCAGGTCAGAGTTAAACCTATTTGTTTTTTTTTGAAAGGGTGGTTGAAAGAACATGCCAAGATTCTTTTCTGAGCAAGCTGCGTCTACAAGACTTCAGTAACTTGACCACACACACCAAAACATCAAACCACAGAGGAGGCTAAGTGTCTTTGGAACTCTCTTCCTCAAAAGATGGTCAAAGCAAAGTCTTTGATTATTTTTAAGGCAGGGTAGATGCATTTTCAATGAGATTTGAAGGAACTGTCATCAGGGGAGGCAGGAACGTGGAAATCAGCCACGATTGTCTGGAATGGTGGAACAGGTTGTAAGGTTATGTGGCCTATTCTTGCTCCTGATTCTTAGGTTAGTGCACAAAATGATACCTGGACTTCAAAAGGTTAAGCTACGAGAAGCCATAAGACAAACTCACACAGTAATCCCTAGGATGGGAAGTATCAATAGTGCTATCATGCAGCTTGCTCAGGAAAGAATCTTGGCAGGGGTAGCAGGAACTGCAGATGCTGGAGAATCCGAGACAACAAGGTGCAGAGCTGGATGAAC